TAAAAAATCCTGGTAAAAATGAATAAGCAAACCAAGTTAACCAAATACTGAAAATTGAACTGTATATTAACATGAATGGTTTTGAAGTAGTTTGAGTTGATAATTAACATATTCATAACTGCTGCTATATGTGTCTTTAGGTCACCTGGACTTTGAGGGGCTCTTCCTGGTTAACGGCAATGCAGAGCGAGTGGATTGGTTGCGTCAGCGCTATGACAGTGGTGAGGAGGTGAAGCTAGAGAAGGAGGCCGATCTGGCGTCAGCCGTCAGTTTGCTCCGACTGTTCCTGCAGGAGCTTCCTGAGCCCGTTATCCCGACGGCTATACAGGGACGTATACTACAGCTGTATCAAGGTGTGTGACCGTGGCTGTGTTTCCTCTTCTCGTGCTATTTTACGAATTTCTTCTACACTCAACCACAGTCTGCTTTTATCCAGTATGATGCAGTTCACCTCCTTTTTCACTTTGTCTTCCTAAATTCCAGTTGGAGCTTTGAGTTTGTTCTGCTCAGTCTGTAAATGTACTTCCTATGAAGAGTGTTGACTATAGCTGTTATAAAAACAAGCACACACTCTTCTGCATCATTTCTGGGTCTTCGTCCAAGTTGATTTTGTTTTAAGATGTTAAGGCTGTGCCCATGTAGGCTGTTGCTGGTTATATAAGCTGTGCGTACACAGTACGGTGGTCTGCATGTACGGAAAACTGGCTGAAACAAACTCTTTCATAACCTGAATTATCTCTATGTTTGCATATCTGCTACACTACTGCACAGCCTTTATCTTTTTCTTTCTTCATTCTTTGTGCCTCTGCTCGTCCACACTCTTCTCAAATTCAAAATCTAAGGTTGTGTTAACAACGTCCCAGAGAGAACTGCTGTCTTTCAGTGGTTATTCATTCTTCCTTTTTGAGAGATTTTTGTGTATTTGGGTAAAAAATGATTGAAAGGCTTGGGTTTCATTTCCCTTTTTTGTTTCAGCTCTTTGGCCTGTCCTCTTTCCTCTCTGTTTTTATCACAGATAATCTGCTCTAATCCCCTTGTCACAATGATGGTTGTTCCGGTTGCTGTCATCCAGATTATAGTAGAAGACTGATTGTGTGTTTGTCGAGACTCCTTGTCATGCCATTTATTTCTCAGTCTATTATATTCTGTAATGGCACCACTGCACTTGTAAAGGATTGCCGTTTTTGCACATTTTCCTCTCCGTCGCCCTCCGTCTCACCTAGTTTCACC